TAATAAGATACTTGAGAAATTTGGAAAGTCAAATACAAGTATGTTTAGGACACCGGTAAACTTACGTCTATATTTGACCAAGAATAATGGTGAGAGTGTCTCTCAACTAGAATATTCTCGGGTCATTGGGAGTTTGATGTATCTGATGAGTTGTACAGGGCCGGATATCGCCTACGCTGTTAGTCGGCTGAGTAGATACACGAGTAATCCTAATGCTACTCATTGGAAGGGCATTATGCGGGTGTTGGAGTATATCCGTTACACCCTGGATTATGGGCTGCATTATACCAGATACCCAGTGGTACTAGAAGGGCATAGTGACGCAAATTGGATATCTGATATAAAATATTTCAAATCCACTAATGGTTATGTGTTTACCCTCGGAGGGGCAGCCGTGTCTTGGAAATCTGCCAAGCAAACGTATATCTCGAGATCAACGATGGAATCTAAGTTTATTGCTTTAGATAAAGCAACTGAAGAAGCTGAATGGCTTCGCCAATTTGTTGAGGATATTCCACGTTGGCCAAAACCTGTGCCAGCTATCAGTATTCATTGCGATAGCTAATCAGCGATTGGTCGGGCACAGTGTAATATGTATAATGTAAAGTCTAGACATATCCATCGTAGACATAATTCCATACGACAACTACTCTCAAATGGAGTTGTCTCTCTAGACTATGTCAAGTCTAAGGACAACATTGCGGATCCGCTAACCAAAGGGTTAACTCGAGAGTTAGTAGAAAAGTCGTCAAGAGGAATGGGGTTAAGGCCTTTAGTAAAGGTTACCGGAACAGAAAACCCAACCTAGTTGACTGGAGATTCCAAGATCTAGGTTCAAAGGGACAACCTAACTTCGTGTAACGGGTGAGTCACTGAAGAGGTAAATCCTCTTGCCCATTCCTTTATACAGTGATGCCCTGTGAGGGTGGAAGGTTAAGCTAATGCTTTTAATAACCTTAGTGATGTGGTATAATGAAGTACCGTATCTAGGTCACCTATGTGAGTGCGAAGTGGGGCCGCTTCTTTAAGAATTGCCAAGGCCGAATTCTTTAAAAACACTCACAGAACTAGGCTAGTGTTCCAGGGCCATACCGGACACACCAGTGAGAACAAGAACAATGGTTGGACTAACTCCTGTGTGAGGTCTATTGTCTCGGTTTACATAAACGGCAGAACAGTTCAAGACATCACGTTCACTGGTCAGCCAGTAAATCCGATAGGCTTTCACTACGAAAGGTTCAAGGCCAACAGCTACCTTTTCTGATGCAGGGTTAGTCTATGTGCTCTCTCTCTTTCTGAGTCTTTGTTGATAAACATTGAGCGTTTGTTGTATTCGGTCAATTTTTATTCATGTGGGGGATTGTTGGAGAAAAATGGTTGAATAAGAAATTGCCTCATAAATGTGTATATAACTCACATATTTAAGGCTCATCAGTTTTACAAAATTGATTGGACTGTTTTGCTAGAATTAGTTGCTAGCCTTAATGGCTAGAGACTCCTCCCCTCTCCCCCATGGTGTATAAAAGGAGGCCCTATTCCTTGAAAAGAGATATAGAATTTTCCTTGACATCCATACACTGTCAGTCTACTTCTCTTATAATTTTCTTCCTGAGAGAGAGTGCTGCCGTTGTCCGTTCGCTAAGCTAATCAGAAGGTGCTTCTGTTGTAGCTGGTAAAAACCGTCGTATCCTGGGGAGTAGACGCCGGCGTACCTCCAGCACCCAACGGTAAGGCGGCAAATCTATTTTAAGGAGACTGTAGTATTACACAGGATTCGGTTTGCTTCCTTTAATCATTTTATATTTTATCTGTATTTTATTCAGCATGTTATTTTTCCTGAGATTGAAGGTTTGTTTTGTTCATCTCATAATTTTGCGATATGCAATGTGAAATTATGTAATGTGAGTAGTTTTCCCAACATGATCGTCATTGGAGCCTAAGAAGAAGGGACTAGAAGGAGATTAGAGGCGCAATGACGTCGCGACAACTTGAACGACGCCGACTGTCTCATCGAAGATTAACATATCAAACCCCCAAGATCTCGCGCTAGCGGATTTAATGGTCGCTGATGGACTAGAGTTCAGGCTCTCTTAACTTTGCGCTGCGATTTTGAAGCTGTTGGACTCGAACTATGGAGGTTGATGGCTAAGGGAGAGATAAAGATAGAGAGAGAGAGAGAGAGAGAGAGAGAGAGAGAGAGAGTGAGTGAGATGAAAATGAGAAGTGCGAGAAACATACAGATAGAGTGAGAAAAGTTTTGTGGCGGGCCTATTGTTTTTCTCTCAATAAATGTGTACTATTTGGATAGTTTGGTCATTTCGCATAACTTTATCCTTATGGACAAGATATTTTAATACGGAGACCTCTAGTTAAGAAAATTTTAAATTTGAATTTATCACCCGAGTGCCAATAAATAAATAATACAAACTACCATAATTAAAGCATAAATACACTTTCTCCTAACATGTAGAAATTACAAAAACCCTCAACGAGCTTAAGGTCAAGCTACAATTAATCTTGTTGCATTAGTTGAACGTTAGTTAATTAATCATATTTTCTATATATGTCATTAATTTTCCTAGAATGCTATTTTTCCCTTTAAAACTAATACATAGAAAAAAAAAATTACAAAATCTATTAAAAACTAAACTCTCTCAAGTGTCCTCTTGACTCCCATCTAAATAAAAGAAAAAAAAAATTAGAAAAAAGTGCCCTCTTGACAACCACCTCTAAATTCAATCCCTAAAAAATTGAATCCATTATCCATCTTCCACTGTGAAGCTCGTACCACCTCAAATCTCCACTAGAATACAACCACTTGCACTCTATCATATCTTTGTCATTTGTACCATATAATAAACGAGTAAAGATAAAAAAATAAAAAACAAAAACTACCATAATCAAAGCATAAATACACTTTCTCCTAAGATGTAGAAATTACAAAAACCCTCAACGAGCTTAAGGTCAAGCTACAATTAATCTTGTTGCATTAGTTGAACGTTAGTTAATTAATCATATTTTCTATATATTGTCATTAATTTTCCTAGAATGCTATTTTTCCCTTTAAAACTAATACATAGAAAAAAAAAATTACAAAATATATTAAAAACTAAACTCTCTCAAGTGTCCTCTTGACTCCCATCTAAATAAAAGAAAAAAAAAATTAGAAAAAAGTGCCCTCTTGACAACCACCTCTAAATTCAACCCCTAAAAAATTGAATCCATCTTCCACTGTGAAGCTCGTACCACCTCAAATCTCCACTAGAATACAACCACTTGCACTCTATCATATCTTTGTCATTTGTACCATATAATAAACGAGTAAAGATAAAAAAATAAAAAACAAAAACAAAGAGAAAATCAAAGACGTAGAGAGATAAAGAGAGAAATTGATAAGGAGACCAAGGTTGACTTGGCGGGGATTAGAGAGGGGAACGGTGTAGTCAATGGAAAGAGGTGGACTAAAGAAGAGGAGCCAGGGAGATCGGTTTAGAGAATATGGTTAGTAAATGTGGAGATCAAACAGAGGGTTGTCGAGTTTAGAGTTGTCGTTAAACGCTTGTGCAATAGATATACGACTTGAAAAAATGAGTGAGAGTATTAATTAGTATTATCACTAATGATGTGGTAGTGAGTCTCATCATGAATGATTTGATATTTTGATCTTAGTGTTGTATTTTTTTCTTTTTTTATTGAGTGCCATATTATTAGTGATCTTTTTAGAACTGTAAAATTAGTGGTCTCTATCATTATTGATAGAACTTGTTAGTGTAGTCTAGTACGGATGTATTTTCATTTTCTGTATTTAATTTATAGAGAAAAAAAAATTGTTTCATAATTTGGTTTGAAAACTAATTTTGGAATAAATTTTGAAAACAACTCACCTTTTAGAAGAAAAAAAATGTTTTTAAATTTTCACGCGAATAAAATGATCTGCTTGATTATCATTTTTCAAAAATATTTTTTAAAAAATTCTACTTTTTATTTTTCATGTTTTTTTGTTTTTATTGATTTTTTTAAATATTTTGAGCAATTTTTTAATTTTTAAACATACATAACATATATATACCTAAAAAGTAAAAAAAAAATTTGAAAAAAACCTTTTAAAAATTCAATAAATACCAAAATTACAAAAAAAAATACGAGAATTCAGTATATTTTTTATATTTTTATGTATTTACTAATTTTTAAAAATATTTTTTCACAAAATTTTTACTTTTTAAATACATCTAAGTAAGATATAAAGTGAAAAAAATGTTTAAAAATTTAAAAATATTCACTAAAAACAAAAAAACACGAAAACCAAAAAATTCTGTTTTCAAAAGATTTAATTCAAAACACTCAAACCAAACACACTGATTTTTTCAAAATTGTTAAGAAAATGCTAAAACACAAACATACAACTAAAATTCTCTTTCTCACCATGGATACTCTTTTAATTACACGGCAAAAAACAAATCACTATGCTTGGTTATCATTTTTCAAAAACACTTTTCAAAAAATTCTATTTTCTTATTTTTCGTGTTTTTTTGTTTTTACTGAATTTTTAAAAATATTTTGAGCAATTTTTTTAATTTTTAGACATACCTAACATAAATATACCTAAAAAGTAAAAAAAAATTGAAAAAAAACTTTCAAAAATTCACTAAATACTAACAATACAAAAAAATACGAGAATTTAATACATTTTTTATATTTTTATGTATTTATTAATTTTTAAAAATATATTTTCACAAATTTTTTACTTTTTAGATACATCTAAGTAAGGTGCATCTAAAAACGTAAAAAAAATGTTTAAAATTTTAAAAATATTCACTAAAAACAAAAAATACGAAAATCAAAAAATTCAATTTTCAAAAAACTTAATTCAAAAAACTCAAATCAAATACACTGAATAATACGTAAGCTTGATTGTTCAGCTGGAGGAGGAAGCACCAAAAGTTCATACAATAATATTTAAACCAAACCAAACCAAACCAAACTAAACCAAGCCTTAAGTCTCATCAAATAGAGTTGGGTGCATGAATTCTTCTTCTCCATTAAACTATATCTAAGGCCATTTCATACAATAATATTTATATAAAAAAAAAAAAGTACAAAGAAAAAAGGGCATTGAACAAAGTAAAGGAAACTGAAGAAAACCAAAACAGAAGAACATCCACAAAAGTGAAAGATTAGCAATTGCTATAACGATGCAAACTACCACCTCCATTTGTCGAACCTTGTATATACAAGGGCATAGCAAAGGGGAAGAAAAAAGAAAAAGAAAAAAGAAACAGAAAAGAAGAAGAATCTCCTGCCTCTCTGATAGTTTGCAGCAGCACAAACCTGTCTACGGTATAGATGACGAAGCTGTTGGCATTGGGGTGGAGGAAGGAGGTTCCCTTTGAAACTCCTTGACAACAGCAGCCAGTGCCTCTGGGTTCAGACCCAGGTCACAGAGGGCAATAAGAACAGAGAGGGTGTGACGATCAAGCCCAGTGTCAAGAATGTTTGACATGTGAAAAACCAAGTCCAGGGATTCCCGGGCCGTGCGTGCAGCCTCTGGATCCATATGGGAAGGACGTTTAAGTATCTGACTTCTTTCTGTAAAGAAAAAGGTTTGCTAATATGGACTTAAACTTGGAAGAAACCTGAAAAATTATAACAAGGGTCACATCCAGCTTATTATTTTCAAGAAACTAAATGCATAAGCAACACGGCAAATCATTCATGTAAGATGTATCCAAGCATTTCTCTCTAAAGATTGATGCATGAAAATAAAAATCAGTCTTGCAACAATTTTTTTTTTCTTAAAAACAAAAAGGATCAACAAAAATGCTTTTGCTATCAATGTCAATGATGTACAACATAACTACCAACCACAAACAGTTTACTGCAATGCATCAACAGTTGTAAAAACTACCCAAAATTTAGAATGGTATAGAAAATTCACAATGTGAGTACCAAACTTAGCATATGAGAAGGTCCATGGCTAGTAGTAGGATAGTGCAAATCATGTATGTAGACAATATGAACCATCAAAATCCAAAAATGAAAAGCAAAATGTTGGCCCCAGTAATAGGGGATTTAAGGGTTTTGTGAAGAAATAACTGTCTCACAGAGAAGGAAACAAAATGAAAAGAACAAGACAATTTGCAGCAAGAAGAAAATTCACACCCTAGCCTTTCCTCTTACTTTCTTCTACCTTGGAACAAACTTCTTTGCCTTTTTACTTTCACTTTATCCCCTATATACATATATTTGTATGTATTTGTTTTTTACTTCAATCATTCATCTTTACCATCCTTGCTTGGACAAAAAAAAGAAGGAAAAAAAAAACAATTACAAAAACACACAAAATTAATAAATTGATGGCCACCATCTCATCTTAAAGATTAAGCTACGAGAGAGGTTTATTATGTGTATTCTTGACATGCCCCCTCTATGTGTGTCTAGAGTTTGTTCCACAAGAGAGGGACAAACCTGTTCAAGTATTATAATTTTAAATCGCACGCACGATCTATTGCTTGCTTTAATACCATGATAAATAGTTAATCACTTTCTCATCTGATAAAAGCTTAAGCTATTAGCAGTGTTTAAATATCTGCATTCCACTACCACTTAAACCATTAAACATGAGCACAGTAAATTCTCCTTGCCAAAAAATATATATATATATTTATCGCCAATGACATATAACTCTACTTCTTAATCTTTGCAAAACCCAAATTCAAAGGCCTCTCTTAAATCCTTTAAACTCTTAAGCTGAAAACCAAAATCTAGGATAATAGAGAAAGAGAACACACACACACACAAAAAAAAAAAAAAAGCCGATTCCATAAAATGCGCCTTCTTAGTTTCTAAATGTGCCTCCATTTCCTATCACCAGTTTTACCAATTGCAACTGCAAATTTTGTTTGAGATGACCTAAATAAGTGCACTTTTTGTCTTTTTACGAAAAGATGTGCAGAAAAGTAGAGAGATGATGTGATGGAAAAAAGATAAAAAGATAAAAAGATGGATTATTTTAGAGTTGCCAAACTTGGCCTTAATGTCTGGATGCTATTCCTTAAATTGGTTACTACACTTTTTCATGAAAACAAAATAAGTACTAACAATACTTCTTTGGTATCATTGCTACTTCCCTAATAGAATGCTCAGAGCAACCCATCCCATCACCATTCACTCCCTCTTAATCATTGCCCATCAAATTCAAAGATCCACCCAACTTTGCATGTATCCCCCATGTTACCATTTCTATGTTTTGCCAATATCAAGGTTTCCATTCCTCCATCATCAAATTCCATTTCTTTCCCCAGGGTCCGTAACCTTAGACATTGAAATTTTGTTTAGATGCTTCTATTTGTACCTCGTTCTAAACTTTTCTATAAAAATAGTAAAGGCAGTAATAGATTTCTTGGCTTTCTTCTCAACCTCAAAGGGACTCACTCTTCTTGACCCGATGATGAGAACCCTTTGAATGTTGACCATAACATGTTCCAAACCCGTCAAGAGGCCTCTAACATGCATCTAAATTTTCAAACAAGATGTATCCTACTTTTGCATTCAGATTACTACAACAAAAAGTCTCAAACCCCACAACAAAAAGTCTGAATAAAGCACCAATTCCATAAAAAGATCCTTCTTAGCTTCTGACTTTGGTCTCCATTTCTTATCACCAGCTTTTCCAATTGCAACTGCAAATTTAATGTATGTATAGCCTTCCTTGAATTGGTTCCTAAACTCTTTCATGAAAACAAAACAAGTAGTAACATGCTTCTTTGCTTTCACTGGTGCCTTCATTACCCATTAAATTCAAAGAACCACCCAACCTTGCCTGCTTTCCCCATCTTACCATGACTATGTTTTGCCAATATCACAAATGGAGCTTTCTCATCTTGAATCGTCAAATTCTATTTCTTTTCCCAACTTTCATAACCTCAGCAATCAAAATTTTGTTCAGATGCTTTTGTTTGTATCTTTCAAAACTTTTATACGAAAATAATGAAGGAAACAATAGATTTCTTGACTTTTTTCACAATGCCAAAGGGAATCTCCTTGACCTGCTAATGAGAACCCTTTGAATATTGACCATGCCATGCACCACACCCTACAAGAGGCCCCTAACAATCCCTCTACCTCCTCCAAAGTCCCAAACAAGATGTATCCTCATGTATCCTCTTTTAGCCTTCAAATTACTCCCCTAATACAATTCGAAGAGAATAACAACCAAGCCCATAACAGAAGTCTCAAAAAGTCCCAATTCCATATGAAGAGCCTTATTAGCTTCTGACCTTGCTCTCCATTTCCTATCATTAGCTGTACTAATTGCAACTGCAGATTTAATGTATGGATGGCCTTCCTTAAATTGGTTCCTAAACTCTTTCATGAAAACAAAACAAGCACTAACTTGCTTCTTTGCTTTCACTGATACTTTCATAATATATTGCTTAGAACTACCATCACCATTTCTAAGTTTGGCCAATATCACATATGGAGCTTTCTCATCATCTGTCATCAAATTCCATTTTCTTTTCCCCAGCCTTCATAACCTTAGCCATCAAAATTTCGTGCAGATGCTTCTGTTTGTACCTCTTTCTAAACTTTTCAACAAAATAAAGGCTTCGTTTGGTAGAGTTTTCTAAAATTAATTCCACCCTTACATTCTAATGCTATGCTTGGTTTGAGTTTTCAAATCATGATTCCAAATTAATTTCAAAATACATTTTGAAAACATGTTTGGTAAAATAGACAATTTTTGAATTTTTGGCCTACCGGTCCAATTTTTGAATGTTTGGTAAAATACTCTCGGATGTCCGGCCGGTTGACCGGAACATTTTTTTTTTTTTTTTGGCAATTGCCAATCACCACCTATTGTTTGGGGGGAAAAAAAAAATTATATTTGTTTTTAATATTTTTTAAATATAGAAATTATTTTTTTAGACCAAAATGACAAATTATTTTTTTGAATTGAATTTTAAAAAGAGTTTGGTTATGAGTTTTGAATAAAATTTTCAATAGAGTTTTGAGTTGTGTGTTTGGTTATGAGTTATAAGTTTTTCAATTAAAGTTTTGAAAATTCTTTTCAAAACTCATAACCAAACAACTTTTCTCATTTCATATATCACATAAAAAACTCAAAACTCAATTCAAAACTCTTTTCAAAACTCATAACCAAACAATTTTTCTCTTTTCAAATCATAATTTCAAAACTCACAAATTCAAAATGCAACTCTATTCTCAAAGCTTAATTCTAAAACTCTACCAAACACTACCAAAAAGGAAGTAATAGATTTCTTGGCTTTCTTCTCAGCCCCAAAAGGACAATCCTCTACACTCTTTAAATGTTGACCTTCCCATGTACCAGACACCACAGGAGGCCTCTAACACCCCTCTACCTCCTCCAAGTTTTCAAACAAGCTGTATTCTACTTTTGTCTTTAGATTACTACAACACTCCCTAATACATTTAAAAAGAAAAAGCAACCAAACCCCACAACAAGAAGAAGTCTCCATAAAGCACCAACTTCATAAAAAAAAAGAAGCCTTATTAGCTTTTGACTTTGCTCTCCATTTCTTATCACCTGCTTTACCAATTGCAACTGCAGATTCAATGTTTGGATGCTCTTCTATAAATTGGTTCCTAAACTCTTTCATGAAAATAAAGTACTAACAGGCTTATTTGGTTTCAGTGCTACTTCTATAAAAGACTGCTCAAAACAACCATTCCCATTAGCATTCACTCCCTCTTTTTCATTACCTATAAAATTCAAAGAACCACCCACCATTGCAAGTATCCCACATCTTACCATTTCTAAGTTTTTCCAATATTACAAATGGAGCTTTCTCATCCTCTGTTATCAAACTCCATTTCTTTCCCAGCTTTCATAACCTTAGCCACTGAAAATTTGTTCAGATGCTTCTGTTTGTATCTCTTTCTAAACTTTTCAATGGAGGAAAAAAAAAAAAAAAAAGGGGGAAGGCAGTAATAGATTTCTTGGCTTTCTTCTCATCCCCAAAGGGACTCTCCATGACCTGCTGATGAGAACCCTTTGAATGTTGACCCTCCCATGCACAACAACCCAATAACAGGCCCCTAACACCTCTCTACCTTCTCCAAATTTCTAAACAAGATGTATCATCCTTTTGCCTTGAGAGATTATTAAAACATTCCCCTAGCTCTACTCCGTCAATCTAAGAGCTGAATCAATGAGCTTACCACCTTTGTCAATCTAAGAGCAAGAATCTTCACTAACAACTTATTTATGCAACCCATTCCCTTAACTCTACCTTGATCCCTGACGAGGAATAATTTGACCATCCCATCCCTGCCCTCAATAGGGAATGGGTTTTCTTGCTCCATCCCAATCCTTGATCCCCCTCTTTTTGTTTTGGCTCAACAAACACTTCATACACAAGACGCCTTTTTTTTTGTGTGCTGGTTTTGCATTGTCCTCCAAAATAATATAGAACTACCAAATTATATACTAAAATTCAATCCAACAGAACAACTATCAACAACCCAAGTTTCAAAGCATCATATCCTTCACCGTGTATGTATATACCAACCATAAAAAAATGTACACATATATACCCAGAACTGGCAAATGGAAGAACAGCCTTCAATCCCTTGTTGCTTATTGTATCGAATCTGAATCAACAACTATTGTTGGGAAGAGTAGTTTGGTTGCACACACAAACACAGAGATGCAATCAATCTGTGTATAAGAGTATTTTAGTTGTGTTACCGTTATGTTTCATTGACTCTTTAGTCAAACATAGATGCAAAGGACAGTAGAGCAACACACTACCAGAAGGATGTTTGGCCCCAACAACCAGAAACCCTGTTTGGCAACTCCCGTTCCGCAAGCTCCCAATCTGATAGGTTGCAATGAACAAGAAGAACGACTTGTTGACACTGCAATGGCTCAATTAGAAACCCTAGATTTGGCAGTGTTGGCCATGGCCATGGAGACTTGGGTTGTGGTGATTGGGGCTTGCACATGGTGCTTGAACGGTGCTCTCAGGTATTATTATTTTTGACTTGAGTGTTTTGGGTTACAGTTTAATTTAGTTTTGTAATCTTTTAGATGAGTGACCCAACATAAGCCTACATGTGCAACCAAATCATCAATCTTCCTTCATACATTTGTGCCCAATATATGATGATGATATGTCTCTCAATCGCTTCAAATAATTGAGAGTTGTTTGTGTCATATTATTTGTAATCCATAAAAATTTCCTACACTCCAAGCAGTCATATTGATATTTCTGCATAATCCATATCATTTTTATAAATTTCAGAGTTTTCTTATTACTAATAAAATTTGCAAATTTGTTAAGGTGAGGAGTCGTGTCGAGTAGTGACAAACTGTAGAAACAAGCTTCATCCGACTAATAACTTATCATTTCAAGCCAATTTCAAAACGTCAAATTATAGGGGTTAGGATTTCGAGCACACACAGAGAGAGAGAGAGAGAGAGAGAGAGAGAGAGAGAGTATTACTTGGTGCCGACGACGATGAACGGCGGAGGAGGCGGCGGCGCCGGTGCAGAAGAACAGGGGAAAAAGTCCTTAGGGCAACAAAGAGCAGCACGTCCAGGAAATGAATATAAAACGGGGCCGTTTTATTGCTAACACTACTGTGCTTGAGTTCTCGCCGAACATTATTTCGAAAGGAGATTCTATTGTACACACTTCTATCATATTACCCCTTAATTATGTCGTTTTATTAAGTTATTGTTCTGGTAACCCAAAAAAAAGGAAAAGATTATTGACTTATTTGGCTCATAATATATTTTTATCTTTTTTGTACATCTTTTTGTAATAAGGAAAAAAATTAAAAAATAAGTCATACCCAAACCGACCCTTAATGGCTTCATTTGGGAATGCGTTAGCTTTTTGACTTTTTTGTTAAAGTTCATTTGGTTGGTTTTTTTGAATTTTGTGAGAAAAAAATTAAAATAATTATAATTTAAATGTAACATTTTATTTTATTAATTTTTTAATTTATTTTGGATTGTTTTGAAAAATTGATTAAAAATTGATTAAAAATTGACTTTTTAACTATTTTTGATTTTTTTTTAAACGTGTAAAAAAAATAGAGATGTAATCTGAAATAGATTAAAATTAAATTTGACTTTTAATCTCATTTTCAAATTAGGCCATATCTTTCTGTGATTAAAAAATCAGCAACCTTATTTTAGCCCGTTGCCAAACGTGAACTTAATGAGTAATGTTGTTCTATCAAAAACATAAAATAAAATAACATTATACAAATTGAATTTTTATACAACAAAACATGGTTGTTTGTCAAATCTTTTCACTCCTCATCAACTATTGTTCCATATAAGTTTTTAAGTTGTTTGGCTTATTTTTCTAATAAATGTGACTTGTCAAAAAATGTTGAAATTTTTTTAGATTTAAATTCACGTTAATTATTAGACGAATATGTTGATAGTTTCTTTACTTTGATGAAGAGCACTTTTAAAAGTATATAGAAAATAGAGAGAAAAGGAGATGGAGAAAATGAAGTAAAATGATTGAGTGGACAATTAAATTACAAGTAACCGTATAAAAGTGCAAACAAATAAAATGTATAAAAAAATATAAATTGAAGTTACATGTACTCTTAATTTGGTGTTGATTGGAGACATCCTTTAGAGCATCTCCAATGTTATTTATATATATATATATATATATATATATTTTATTAAATTTGAGTAAACATTTTATCTGATATTACGCACTGACGGATTTCATCAAAACATCTGTCAGTCGGGCAGATATCTAGTTGGTCGATTGGCTAGTATAATTTTTGCACAAATTCTAGCAAGGAGGTGGTCATCTGAGAGGACAATTGACCGAACATCCGGCCGGGCGTCTAGTGGTAAAAATTACCTGCAGCATCAATGGCTATGAATAGTGAAGTAATGAAAGGTTCTCCCATCCTCAATTTTGTGAAAGATTTATTATATCCTCAATTTGATACTCATTTAATTAAACGATTGGAGTAGCAAAAATGATATTTTCTCATCAAATTTAAATTTGATGAAACAATAAATGATATGTTCAAGATGGTCTTACTCCTCGTTTTTAATTCAAGGTTTCTATACTTATTTTTGGGTTATTTTTCAGAAAGTCATATTCTTAAATGTTATGTTCCATTTAACTCATTTTCTTTTTTAAAATTTCATTAAGTCATGTTTAGGATAATATGACCTAATCACCCTTCCAAACTTGTTGGGTGTGTTTCCATTTTGAAACCAATACACAATAAAAAATAATAATAGTCTCTCATTTTATGGAGAAAATTTCTTTCTCATTCTAGAGAGAAAACCTCTCATTTATTCTATGGAAAAAATCTCTCCCTTATTCTAGGGAGAAAATCTTTCATATTCCCAAAATCCTAAATCATCTATCTTATTCCGACGTGCAGAAGAAACGTTGTAAACATTTACTTCGATCGAAGTGTAGACACTGTGAACATCCACATTGCTGGTGGTTGCTTATATTTGTATACACATAACAATTGGCTTAATGTGAGTTGTGGTAAATAAATGTTGATGTAAACTTTCACATTACAAATGTATGTTGGTAAAATAACACATTAATGTTGTTTGCGCTTGTATGACTATTTCTGAATGTGAACATTAACATTGACTAATAATGTGATGGTCACAATAAGCAATGACTACTTACAATATGAATATTCACACCATGTAATAATCATGCAAAACTCATATAATAATTAGTGATATATAAACATTCACATTATGCAATAACCATGCAATCATTACTCTATATTGCATGTCATGCAGTCATCACATGCTTCTAATGTTGAAGTTTACATCATAAAATGTAAAACATTAAAATATGATAATCCACAATAATAATTTCAGTGAACACAATAATTTCACTGAAATACCCACCCAATAAGCATACATACACTAATACATTAAGGTAACTATCTGTTGCAAAAACACAAAAATAAGGAAGTGAACACCCACTTTATAACTACATAATACCATAAACATGAAATAACCAATAATATGTGATGCAAAAAAATATAGCTGTATTCATATTTTGCACTGTTAATCCCAAACTAAAAATTTTATTGCCATCATTACACATCATTATAGATTAGACAACTTCAAATTCACACCATTAAATATAATGGCAATAAACAACATGCAAACATCTTCCGTAATGATATAACCAATAATATGTGAACGTTCACATTGTTTGCGCAATGTGAATATTCACATCCAAAAAACATAGCCCCATATGAATGGATTACTAGACAAAAATCATAACTTCATTCAACAAAAATAAACTTGCATGTCCACCTATTCTAGAAATAAAGTTGAAAGCAAAAACAGAACATAAAATCATTTATATAAATCCAAACATAAATGAACATGCATCCTTAAACAAAATAATATTAACCTTGAGATGAAATTAACTACTCGTTGTCTCCCTTTAATCAATGTTTGACTTCATAAAATTATGTAAAAAAACAGAGCACAAAAGAATAACACTAATGCAGTCTTGATTCGTCATCTTCCTCCGACACCAACGAAATGATGTAACACCACAATGAGAGTGAAACCGAATCACAATTAAAAGCGTGAATCATGATAACTGTCACAGCAGAAGTATAGTAAAAAAAGAAAAGTGTATATCATTTTTGTCTGTAATACATATTAACAATAAATATAAGGGTATAATAGTCTAACAAATAATGTAAATCAGGAAAAAAAAGACCTCATGGAATAAAAATATAAATACATGGGTGTGGGCGCCGAATAATGGTGAAGTCAGAAGGCGCGCACTATAGAAGGCTGATATTAATCGGCTGTATCCTGCAAGAATAGGGGGGCCGAATATAATATATGGACCGAATAAGAGAAGGACAATGATTAAAAAGTAGGCCCTGGCCCCGAGGCCCAAAAGAAACAGGTATAAATACAGGAATAACAGATTTAATAGGTATGTAACAATCACTTTTTGCTTAACTTAGAAGACAAGCTATTTTGAGTACAAGAACTGACTTGTCCGTCGGAGTGCTAATTCCGACACCCCCAATCGGAGTGTTTGTGTCTTTTCAGGTGACTAGCAGAGGATCACTAGCGTCTCCCAAGATCTGAGGAGTATTTCCAAAACCACTTCTCCACAATTGGCGCCGTCTGTGAGAATACTCAAATACATCCATGGCAGGTGTGATTGAAGATCCTCCGATAGCCACCGACGAGACCACACAGAGAGATGACCTCACTCCAGCAAATATGCTCGGAAAGGAAACCATCGCTGCAAGACGCGCCTTGAACTTCAATTCACCAATGACTTCAGCGCAAGAGACAATGCAAGCGATCATGGAACAAGCAAATCAGAATGAACAAAGGCTGGAGAACATGATCGCTGAAAATGAACGTCTCCGTCAAGACTTGGCCCTAGAAGTGGCAAAATCCATAGAAGCCGTGCGCCAAGATCCTGAACATCCTCCGAAGGCAGGCGGACAACGACCTCGAGCTCGACCAAGGGATACCGATAGCGACTCCAACTCACTGTCCACGGAGCTCAACAAGAGGGGACGATCCGAAATTTCCAGCTCCTCCGAAAAGAGTCTTCGTACAAGGAACAAGCGCAGAAGAAGCAGTTCAGACGAAGACGACCAGCATGATCCCTTTGTCCGACGGATTGCAAGGACGGCCCTGCCCAAGAAGTTCAAAGCTTTATCATTCACTCTCTACGACGGAAAATCAGACCCCACTGATCATATCCGTCACTACAAGCAGGCCATGACATTGCATGCAGACAACGAGGTCCTCATGTACCGAATATTCCCCAGCAGCCTGGGGCCATCAGTTGTCAGGTGGTATTACAAGCTGGAGCCGGCTTCGATCAAAAGCTTCCATCAATTATAGAAATCCTTCAGGGCCAGGTTCATCACCAACGAGGTACAACCGAAATAGACCGACTCTCTATGGGCTATGCAGATCCAGTCAGGAGAAACGCTCAGAGCATACTCGGCGCGCTATTGGGAGTGCTTCAATCTCGTTGACGACGCTTGCAACGACTCCATGGCCATCACCACCTTTAAAATGGGACTACACCCTAACAGTGCTCTCCGCAGTTCCCTGACCAGAAGACCCTCCAAAACAGTTTGGGCGTTGATGAAGAAAGTTGAGGAGTATTGCAAAGTCGAAGACGATGCCTTGAGAATTAAAGCCGGGCAAACGTCCAACAAAATAGCACTCCCTGAAATTGCTAAACCAATAAGTTCCGTGCCACCTCTGAGCCCTGAGCCACGGCAACGTGCTAAAAGAGACAAAAGGCGGGACTCTCACCGATCAAGCGATCAATGCTCCCACCGGACGAATGAACAACTGCAAGTTGACAGCAGGCGCTTGAGGCGTACTGACAAGAAGTTCACAGAATTGTCCGAACCAATCACTGCGATAATGACCAAGGTCCAACACCTTCCATTCTTCAAATGGCCGTCGAAGATGGTGGGACCTCTCGACACGCGAAGAAGGGATAGGCGGTGCGAGTATCACAAAGATCACGGCCACGAGACTGAGAATTGTTACGCATTAAAGGATCACCTGGAAGAACTGGTGCAAGACGGCCGACTGCAGCAGTACGTGAGAAACGGCAAGCCAATCAAGGCACTAGCCTTGAGGCAGGACTCAC